TTCTGATAACCTGATATTTTATTTGCTGGTTATACTATATATCATGATATATATTTCAAATAGTCATAACTATAACCATGGTCATATGATAGCACTTTGGTATAGTGTCGGATACTTTTTACGTATGGAACAATTTGACCAGTCACAGTTGAGGTTTTGCTTGACCCGCTAATTCAATCTCAAAAACAGTATATTGACGTATAATAGTCAAACTACAACAAATATTATTTTTAATGAGTCAAAGTATGGCAGTTATGATATGTATGTATGTCAAACAAGGCTCATTTCAAGGCCTCTAAAGCGGTAATACGATCGTGGTTATATATAAAGCAGGTATAGGTGCTGTCACGGTATGTGGTAAAGCGGACCCTTTGGAACAGGGTAAACGGATGTTGTAAGTATCGGAGGGAACACGATTTCGCTGAAATCTATGTAAACATTGTATAAAATACAATTAATAAAATAGATTACAAATTTAAGTCCAGATATACATAGAACACTTTTCTTTATTGCTATATAGTGCAACAACAGGATTAACTTGTGTAATTCAATACAGATTTGTTGATATTCTATTTCTGATGATGATTATGTCAAGAAGATAGGTTGGTGGTCTGGCTTATGTGCCGTACATACCATTTTGATACAGATTTCAGGGATCAAGTTAATGCCTCGTCATAACTATTAGATCGGCTTGTCTACTGTCATAAATGGTAGTTAAATAGGAATATGAAAGTATCAGGTGTTCTTTAACTTCTTTTGATTAGTATATGTCAGAATTCCGCCACTGCATATGCAATAATCGCAGCAACATTTTAATAGTACTCATCCTTACTATCTCTGCATGGTCCCTTCTCCTGCTTCAGAATCGTGACACGAGCATCTGAGACGTTTCTAACAATGACCTTGACATTGCGTTCTTGTATTAGACCCTGTGAGGATTCTGGGTTAAAATTGGGCCAAAGCTACTTGTGCTTGTAATAAGATGTTTAATGGATCGGGAAATTGGTTGATTGAGAGCGATATGCATGGTTAATTGATAACAGAGACATATAACCGAACTAGAATTTGTACTTTGCTAAGAAAGTTTAAATTCCGAATGGGACTCAACCCTAAAAAGTACTAGAATTTGTACTTTACTAGGAAAGTGTTATCCCAAATATATCATTTGTTACATTTGACCATTTTCTAAATGGCATTGCGTATTCATAGTACTCAAAGTATGTGATCTGGACTACCAGCTTTGTGTATTCAAGGGGCGGTCAGGTAGCCTAGTTGTTGAAGCGTTCGCTCATCACGCCGAAGAACCAGGTTCGATTCCTTACATGGATACAATGTGTGAAGCCCATTTCTGGTGTCCCCTGCCGTGATATTGCTGGAATATTGCTAGAAGCGGCGTAAAACCATACTCACTCACTCACTCACTCACTCACTCACTCACTCACTCACTCACTCACTCACTCACTCACTCACTCACTCACTCACTCACTCACTCACTCACTCACTCACTCACTCACTCACTCACTCACTCACTCACTCACTTACTTGGGTATTCAAAATGAGACATAATGCCTTTTTAACCGCTACAGAAGTGTTCATGTTTGTGTGATGCCTGCAGTAAGACAGGGGTGTGCTTCATAAGGCATTCTGTTGTGTATGGTTGTTTGAGAATGATCTGATGCCAGATGTTTCCGTCGACACGCATTGATGGTGTTTGGTTTTATGTCCACTAACAATATGAGCTGAAATATTTCAATTAATTGCTTTACAGACAACAAAGAAAATATGCTCTGAATTCCTCAATGGTCATAATATGAAATTTGAACTGAACCAGATGAGTCACATGACAACCGTGGTGTTGAGGGGTCTTGTCAAAAGTTAAATAAGCTGCTATTACTAAAAAAAATTTCTAATTTAACACACACCTATCAACAATGAAAAAAACAAAAAAATGAATGTTCCAACTAAATTTCACATGCAAATTAAAGATTGTTTACAACATTAAACGTTAAACAACCTTAGCGCTACTGTCATAAGTCAGTGTTTTGGTATGGGAGTTAAAATCACCTTAGCGCTAAGATCTCTTTGTTCTGTTTCATGACTGAGATACAGCTCCATGGATGTCTGTAGATTGTCTTATTTGTGTACTCTACGCTTCGTTTTACGAGAATGTTATGTGATTATGTTGCGATATTTAATTGGCTTACCATATTCGACGTAATAAGCTCGTGGGTTTCACCGAAGTGGTAAACATCTGAGACCTGCATCACTTCGGGCTTTCCTCCCACATTAAGCTGACACGCCGTGATATAACTGGAATACTGTTAAAAGCGGCGTTAAACCAAACTCACTCACTCACTCTACACTAGTAAATCAATGAGATGTCTACACGTTGAGGTCAGACTGGTCAACAAGGAGGGCCAGGCTTGGTTCATTGATAAACATATAACATATACAGTAAATGCTGCAACTATTAAATAACACGATATTGGAATCGCTTAAATAAAATAGTTTCAGATACAATTTTCTTCGATGATTGCATACAAATCCTTTGAAGATAAACTATCAGGTATTTTTTGACTGAATGATGGATAGATCTCGGAAAAAATGCAGCAACCGAAACATCAAGAGGAAGGCAGATCATTCAAAACGGATTTCTTTAAACCCAATTTACTCATCAAATCATTGCATGTCCATGGACATCCTCGAATATGTATATTACTCGCCCGACTTGTAAATCTCACTTGGCATGGGCATCGGGCAATGGTATTTTTTAATCCCTAAAGAGACAACCACATAGATCGGGTGGTCAGGCCCTGTGACCTGGTTGATTGTGTGCCATCTATCCCGACTGCATGTATTGATGCTCATGATGTCAATCACTGTTTTGACTGATTCAGACTCGAGTTTATAGCTGGAATATGTCTGAGTTCGAACAAACAAACATATGCATGATACAGAGACCACTGTTCAAATGTTCACTGTTTGGATAACTGTGTTTTTATCAAAATGATTTACAAATTACATCGCATTTGCGACACAGTGATTAACAGGGGCGCTTAACTTTTTTACAGGTATATATTTTGTTAAGATATGTGGAACCGCACGCTGCCATAGCTTTGTTTGTCAAGTGATGTCGCCACATTCATAGATCCTGGACTATTGCACCATGTATAGGTGTGAAATGAGTAGAGAGAGCCACACGTCCCTGCATGTTTGGACTTGTTGAATTCCATGGTAATGGGACCTGTGAAGATCCGGGGTAGAACAGGTCTTCAGCAACCCATGCCTGCCGTAAAAGGCGACTATGCTTGTTGTAAGGGGCGACTTACGGGATCTGGTTGTCAGACTCGCTGACTTGATTGAAGCATGTCAACGATCCCAATTGCGTGGATCAATGCTCATGATATCAATCACTGGATTGTCTGGTCCCGACGCGGTTATTTACAGACTGCCGTCATTTAGCTGGAATATTGCTGAGAGCGGCGTAAAACAGCAAACCAACCAACACATTTGAGATAGTGGTGGGACGATACACTGATGCATCGGCGGATCGCCATTTTTACTTCTCGATACAAGTATCGATCATAGTCACACAAATGTTTGCTTTAATAACTTTTCCACTAAGTACTAATCAGTGGTGCAAGTTAATAGTGAAAACAGAAATATTTTCATTTGTTGTGCCATACTTGACACTGCCAACTGTAAATCGTCAGTGTGGCAGTTATTTGGCCTTCCTGTCTATGAAAAAGATGGCTTATACACCACAGATAAGAGCACGTGCTACCTGATAAGCACCAGATTGCACAGTTGGTGTATTGTCCCAGCCTTAATGTGAGACGTGTTAGCGTTATGTGTGACACACTGCAACAATCACTGACGTTAAGTAGATACCATATGCTACTTGGGCTGTGTTAAACAATATCACAGGGTTGATTTTAAATGCTGGCCCGTTGGCCCATGGCCAGTAAAAATTATGAAAGACTTGCTGAAACAAAGTAGATGGCTAGTCAAAATTTCACCCCTTCTCTGTGTATGTTTAATTTTGTAATTTGACACTGCTTGTGAATTTTGTAATTTTGATGAGAAAATCTTCAGGGGGGGTCGTGTGAATGGTTAACTCAAAGATCATCATGGAAGAGTAACACAACCGGCGGCCATTTTGTAATGTTCTGCAAAACATCTTTATTTGCTCTAAATTGTCCCAAAATGAGGCAAATGGAAGCTGAGATTTAATCTCAGAGTGCAGGAAATGACATTTTAGGGATGAAGAGTTCAAACATTTTCAGGGCCCTCTGGGTAACTCAGCTGTGGCCTCCAACATTTAGTTATGGGCAGTTAGTTTGGGGAAGAGCCAGTTAGTTTGGGGAAGGGTCAGTAACTTTTGAAAGGAACAAGCCCTGCTGGCTACATATGGATTTGTTGTTAAATCTACCCGTTATCATACCGTTTATCTCTTTTCAACCCTGTGGAGATTCCAGGTTAACTTACAATATTCGACGTAATAAGCGCTCCGCTCTAAAAAGCGCCCACGGCGATATTTACAAATATATTGGCCAGTGAACAATCCCAGTTAGCACCCCTTCCGATTGATCAATGTACACAAGACTTATTAATTCGCGTATAATACGCAATCATGTGCTATATCCACCCTTAATTATGGGCAATTAAATTCTGGAAAAATATATCTGTCCTATATAAACATTTCAGGCTGTCAGCATAAACCACGAAATTTATCTCTCAATTCTGTTTTTTTCCACCAAAATAATATTCTAATAAGAGCCCCCTATTTTTAATTTTGAGAGCGCCCTGGGCGCTTATTACGTCAGATACGGTAGGCCTCGGTGCTGGTGTCATTGCTCATAATGGCAGTGACAACTTTGCCCGGTCCAGCTGTGATTATTCACAGGCCGTCGTCAAAAAGCTGAAATGTTGCTGAGTGACTGTCGTTAAACAGTAAATAAACAAAGATGTGAATCTGATGTCATCTGTTTCACTTGCAGCAAATCCTTCGGTAATGTGTTGGTGCTGGACGGAGTGATTCAGTGTACGGAGCGCGATGAGTTCACCTACCAGGAGATGATTACACACCTGCCCTTAAACAGTCATCAGAACCCCAAGAAGGTCAGATTTACAGATAAAAAGATTTGTGCACATTTGCTTTTTAGGAATCTGTGATTTTTTGGAAGCACATAATGGAAACAGTGTTTTAACTTTAAATCTCCAACTGTGTCAGTAAGTTCACTGCAACTATTTTCTTTAGTAGACAGCTATTCTTTTAGTAGACAGCTATTCTGTTTTTGTAGCGTTACACTTAAGGACTTTGTCGACAATGTGCGAAAAAGTATGAGAAACGGCAACAATAACAAATTTGCAAACCGCACATTTGCAGACATATTCTACCCCGGAACTTCACGGACTAATGAGAATGGAAATAACAGCAATTGTTCAATAAAGAAATGGAGACATTACTGCCTGGCTAATTGACAATGTCCTTTTATTTGCAGGTGCTTGTAATTGGCGGCGGGGATGGAGGTGTTGTTCGTGAAGTGTTGAAGTACCCAAGTGTAGAGCAGGTTGTCTTGTGTGAGATAGATGAGGTGAGTGGACATGGTCCGATGTGTATGTCAGGTACTTGCGGAGCCTGTTTGTATCAGCATTTTTCAATTAAGTTATTAATGAAGTATTGCTTTTGTCATTACACTACAATATATCTGTTATTGTCCATCTTCCCGAGGCAAGGGAGTTAATTGACTTTTTAAAGTCCAGTATTCACTCTTGCTGAATTTGGCTGGAATTATGGAGTTATGTTTTGGCTGGAGAAACAAGTATTTACAGAGTCCAATCCAAATTCCTTAAGGAAATCGACATCCGGTTCTTAACAGCATGGCAACCGCTGTGCCAAATTCGGTCGACTGAAGGATCATGTGTACCGTCAACTGGGCGTTGACACATATTTTCCAAATCTTTGAATGTTTTTATTCAAGGTGCTTGCGTGATATGATGCATTTCGCTAGATAAAACCTGTTTTAATACATGGGGGCCCGGGTGGCCCAGTCGTCTAAGGCGCCGCGATTCGCTGTGCAGAGTTGCGTCCCTTGGGCATGCCAGAAACCATGATTGTGGGTTTGAATCCCGGTTTGCCCCGATTATGTTTCTATGTTTGTCAGCACCATGTCCGTGCTCGTGGGTTTCACCGAAGTGATAAACGTCTGAGAGCTGCATCACTTCGGGCTTTCCTCCCACATCAAGCTGACACGCCGTGTTATAACTGGAATACGGTTAAAATCGGCGTTAAACCCAACTCACTCACTCACTCACTCACTCACACTGTTTTAATACAATAAAGATCTAAATTATCGATGAAATCATCCTGACTGGGTACTGCCGTTATGTTTGAAGCAAGTGCAAGTGATGTGAGACGTGGATCGATCTAGAGGATGGACATAGAATTAGGGAAATTACTCGTAATAGCCACTCGTGCATTGAGCCCAGAAATTCCAGTCAAGTTCGACTAGGGTTGAAACTGGACTTTTAGAGTCAGTTAACTCCATTGTCTCAGGAAGATGTTATTGTCCTATACCAGTCATGTGGATACCAGAAAATATACTGAACAAAAAAAAAATTAGTGATCATGAATATTTTTTGGGATTTATTTTTTGCAGTGAAGATTGATTTTTTTTAAAATGTGTATAGTATGTTAACATATTTCCTGATCCCTAACTTGATTTGTTCAGTATAGAGTGAATCAAGAGTAAGACATGCCCATGAGACAACTTAATGATAAGCTCCCAGATTATTCACACAACACACATGTACGCTACCAACCTTTGAAATGCATATTTTTGAAAGTCATACACATAACTGGGAGAGTTTATGATGTCAACTTCTTTATTGTGAGGAACGTGGGCATGGGTGGCCCAGTCGTCTAAGGCGCCGCGATTCGCTGTGCAGAGTTGTGTCCCTTGGGCATGCCAGAAACCTATGATTGTGGGTTCGAATCCCGGTTCGCCCCTTTTATGTTTCTAGGTTTGTCAGCACCATACCCGTGCTTGTGGGTTTCACCGAAGTGGTAAACGTCTGAGACCTGCATCACTTCTGGTTCTCCTCCCACATTAAGCTGACACGCCGCGATATGACTGGAATATTGTTAAAAGCGGCGTTAGACCCAACTCACTCACTCACTATTGTGACAAAACATTTCGGAGTATATACATACTCCTTCATCAGGTGATAAAGGAGGAAGCATATTTTCCTAAACATGTTGTTCCTCATAATAAGGAAGTTGACATCCATAATTTATCTTTCTTATACACATTAGGGGCGGTCGGGTAACCCTGTGGTTAAAAGCGTTCGCTCGTCACGCCGAAGACCCGGGTTCGATTCCCGACACGGGTACAATGTGTGAAGCCCATTTTTGGTGTCCTCCGCCATGATATTGCTGGAATATTGCTAAAAGCGGCGTAAAACCAAACTCACTCACCCACTCTTATACCCATTATACATTCGAAATAGCTGGGGACAGTAACGTTTCAATTACTGTGAGCATGGTTGGTGAATACCTGTAGTTTGCAAGCTGCCGTTTCGTTGTTGTCTGTAGGCTTCAATAGGAGCGTGATCACAATCAATTATAAAATTGTGCTGTGCTGGAGAGACACTTTAATATTTCAAGCTGTTGAACTGTGGGGCTGTCGTTGAAACTTCATGTCAATAAATTGATTTTTTTTTGTCGTCTGATACTGCATTGAAACCCCAAATGAAGATGTTGATACATATATCAATTTTTAGCTTGAACATGTTGAAAAGACTTGAGTTAATTATACGAGCATATGTGCCATATTGATTTTACAAAACGAGTGTCCGAATTCTTGTTTTTCCCAAGTGAGAGCTAGGGTAATACATGAATTTTTACATAAGTTTTGTAAAATCAGTATGACACACATGTGAGTGTAATACTTTCTTTATTACACTTTTTTTTTTATCTCCCACGCGGGGGAAGGGTGGCACAGTCGTCTAAGGCGCCGCTATTCACTGTGCAGAGTTGCGTCCCTTGGGCACGCCAGAAACCTATCATTGTGGGTTTGAATCCCGGTTCGTCCCGATTATGTTTCTAGGTTTGTCAGCACCGTACCCATGGGTTTCACTGAAGTGATAAACGTCTGAGACCTGCATCACTTCGGGTTTTTCTCACACATTAAGCTGACACTCGGCGATATAACTGGAATACTGTTAAAATCGGTGTTAAACCCAACTCACTCCCTCACTGTCATCCCGGCATGTTATGTGTGGATATATAGTCATCATATCGGCTCTGTCTCTCTGTATTTCGTTTCCGGAACATAACTTGAAAACTGTGGGAGAATTTTTATCCAAACTTGGTACATGTATTAACCAGGGGCTGAAGTGATGCCTTTTTACTGTTGTGGGGGTCGGGGAATTTGTCATCTTCTGATGACTCTTGCATTAATCCTTTTGAGCTCCTCTTTAGAAACATGCACTGATCAAAACAAGAGTTGTCGAATGACGTCAACAGTGTTCGGTTATGACATTGTTTCTTGTGTGATGTCATTTTGACCTTACGTCACAAAAAGATCTGAATGATGTCCGGATAAAGTATACAACACACTAGTGCATGTAAAGTGATATTTGTGCAAGTGCACATACATTTTTATGAACTCGGTTATTTCTATCCATCCAATTTGAAATCCTGTCTCAAATATGTTACAGTGTTCCCTCGTTATTGCACCCTTCAATATAGCGCTAACTCGGTTATAGCGCGCGGTAAAGCATGGCTCCCAAAATTTACTAACATTTTTTTAATACTCAAGTTTTCAAATGAAACGATGTTTTCCCCCCATCTCAGAAAACATTATCAGCTGATCACCACAATCACCTAACACCGGAAATACCAGTCAACAAATCTGAATTGAAGTACGCAATTTAATCCTATTATTATCATATCTGGTAATAAAAAAAATGTTCATCTGGACTAATGTTTGCAATATATAATGTTTAATTATATTCAAAATCTCATTCAATAATTATAATAATGTTTACAATAATTTCAGCGAAATCGTATGCGAAGTGATCGATAGATCGCACAACTCACTGTTATTAACTGCAACTTGTGTCAGATTACCGGTATTGACGCCTTGAAACAAACTTTAGTTGCAAGAGAATAAATGCCGTAGCAAGACTCGCTAAAAGTCATCTTTGAGCCAGTTTGACTATTAAATACAGTGAGGTGAAATGGATTTTATAGGCACATTCAAGATTATTGTTTTTGCGTTGCATGTTTGTGCTTTGGCCCATCAGTCCTTGTGTTGTCCCCTAACTGGCAAGCACCAGGTATGTTTTAAAATCGGTTGCTATAAACCAGCCTATAATTGGACCACCGACCTTCCTCCCTTCAGGGACCGCCTCCGTGGTCTTGTGGTAGAGCGTCCGCCTGGAGAGCGGAAAGTCCAGGGTTCGATCCCGGGCCGCGTCATACAAAAAGACGTTAAAAGATTGTACTTGTTGTTACCCTGTCTGACGCTCGGCATTAAGGGGCTTAAACAAGGACTGGTCGGCTCGGAGTCAGTATACTGTGTCTGAGTGGGGTATTCGTGTTAAACTGCGGCATGGTATCTCAGTGAGCTAGCACTATAAATCGGCATCAGTCCGGACTAGTACAAGCAGCCACACACACACATACACGTACATGCACGTCGCTATATAAGTGCAACAATCTTGGACGCGACGTTAAACCCAATTTCACCTCACCTCACCTCCTCCCTTCAGGCGAACGCTCTTTCCATGCACTGGTTGATTAAGCAATACACTGTCTCATGATTCTGTCTGAATATCATTGATTGCCCAGGTCAGTGGGAAGTCAAGTCTTTTCAGGTAAAATCCTGATTTGTATTGAATCTGTCACAGCTGGCCAACCACATGTGTAGAGGGTGACAGCTGAGGTTGTTCTGTTTAACAGTTGAAAGCTGTTGTCAATATAACTCAGATGTGTCGAATCCCCAGTTGTCTCAATTTATGGTCCCAAGATAGGTTTGTTTGTTTGTTGTTTAACGCCGCACTCAGCAATATTCCAGCTATATGACAGCGGTCTGTAAATAATCAAGTCTGGACCAGACAATCCAGTGATTAATATCATGAGCATCGATCCACACAATTGGGATATGATGACATGATTCAACCAAGTCAGCGGGTCTGACCACCCGATCCCGTTAGTCGCCTCTTACGACAAACATAGTCACCTTTTACGGCAAGCATTGGTTGCTGAAGACCTATTCTACCCCGGATCTTCACGGGTCTATAGTCCCAAGAGTTAGAAATAAGAGATCATGAAAGTGACAGTTGGAATGTGATTTCTCATCATGCAGCCTCGAAAACTTTAAAACGGAGTATTCCGAACGATAGTTACGGGCTTAACGACCGAATCTATACAATCTAGACCATATATTTGCCATTCGAGAATGTTCTTTTGTTCTGGTTTCAATTTTTTTTAGCAAGAACTTGTCAAATTATGTTTCGAAGCGTAGTCATCGATTTGAAATTAGTGCCGTAAAGCACGAGAAAGCTGCCTTCTGATTGGCTAATGTCGACTTCTTGTCAGTAATTCCATTGGTCGGTCAGAGTTCGCGAAAGGTCGGTCTGATGTGACCTGTAATGAGATGTCCTCAGATCTTTGTTTAGCGGCAGCAAGGACTAAGATCTGATTTTAATGAGATTGGTCAGTTCATTATAAGTGTGTTCGTTATAAACGAAGTTAACTGTGTCCGAGGGGTTGTTGGTGTGTCCCAGTTCAAGTGAGAGAGTGAAACACTGTTTAGAGTTACAAACGGCTGTTTATACCAGGAAGCACCACTCCAAGTGGAATAGTTTGGCATGGATCTTTGCAAGATATAAATATTGCAAGTGTTTACAAGTCATTCATTTGCTTACCAATAAATAGGGTTCCATAAACCAGAACAAATTTGCCACACCCACTCCTGGGCTAGTGTTTCATTATTGGCTGATATCAGAATGATGAGGCTTGTGTTGCGTTACTTGGCTAGGCATTATCATTGATTTCATATAGTTGTCTACATTTTGTTTATAACAGTGTTCAAATAAGAAGTCTGTGAAGGTTGACATTTATTCCTAAGAAGGGACTTCAATATATTTCTGGGTTCAGGAAGGTATTAACATTAAACTGGTGTAGATACCTCCACAAAAGAGGTCACACTGGTTTTATATATATCTCCATAAATGCACAAAATATTGAAGTCCGTTAGAGACTTTAGAGAATAGTTAAATAGAGATAAAGCTTGCTCTGCTTCTTTTTTTAGTACTAAAGCTTTCAACCTTTACCTACCAAACTGAAGTGGGTTATGTCCTTCTTTCAAGTAGAGTCCTGATACGGGGTGACTGATAACCCTGCTCTGACTCTAGGTAAAGATTGGGCAGCTGCAGCCTGCGTGTCCCAGTTCTCCTTGTACTGCCCTAGTATTGCCCAATTTCTAGTACTGCCCCAGTTCTCCTAGTACTGCCCTAGTACTGCCCCAGTTCTCCTAGAACTGTCCTAGTTCTCCTAGTACTGCCCCATTTCTCCTAGTGCTGCCCTAGTACTGCCCCAGTTCTCCTTGTACTGCCCTCGTACTGCCCCAGTTCTCCTAATACTACCCTAGTACTGCCCCCATTCTCCTAGTACTGCCCTCGTACTGCCTAAGTTCTCCTAGTACTGCCCTAGTATTGCCCAAGTTCTAGTACTGCCCCAGTTCTCCTAGTTCTTCTCTAGTACTGCCCCAGTTCTCCTAATACTACCCTAGTACTGCCCCCATTCTCCTAGTACTGCCCCAGTTCTCCTAGTTCTTCTCTAGTACTGCCCCAGTTCTCCTAATACTACCCTAGTACTGCCCCCATTCTCCTAGTACTGCCCCAGTTCTCCTAGTACTTCCCTAGTACTGCCCCAGTTCTCCTAATACTACCCTAGTACTGCCCCCATTCTCCTAGTACTGCCCCAGTTCTCCTAGTTCTTCTCTAGTACTGCCCCAGTTCTCCTAATACTACCCTAGTACTGCCCCCATTCTCCTAGTACTGCCCCAGTTCTCCTAGTACTTCCCTAGTACTGCCCCAGTTCTCCTAATACTACCCTAGTACTGCCCCCATTCTCCTAGTACTGCCCCAGTTCTCCTAGTACTTCCCTAGTACTGCCCCAGTTCTCCTAATACTACCCTAGTACTGCCCCCATTCTCCAAGTACTGCCCCAGTTCTCCTAGTTCTTCTCTAGTACTGCCCCAGTTCTCCTTATACTACCCTAGTACTGCCCCCAATTCTCCTAGTACTGCCCAACTACTGCTCCAGTTCTCCCCAGTGGTCTGCTATTACCGATACATGTATGTTGTGATCCTTTCAGAGAGTGGTGGAAGTATGCAAACAACACCTCCCGAGTATGGCGTCGTGTCTGTCAAACCCACGCGCTGTTCTCCACATCGGCGATGGCATCAAGTATCTACAGCAACACAAAGGAGAGTTTGATGTGATAATTACTGATGCCCCTGACCCCATAGGTGAGACGATGTGTTCAACTAGGTTCATTTGATCCTTTTGTGACAACCACTAAATGCGGCGTGAAACAATACTCCCTCACTCTGCTAATGACGGCAATGAATGGGTATGGGTAGCCTCATTGTCCAAGGTGCCAGAGTTTGTTGAACAGAGTTGCATCCCTTGGTCAAAGCAGGATCTGCAGATTATGGGTTTGAGTCCCAGATTCAGTGTTGGTTGCCCTATGGCATCTTTTCAGACTTGCCTCCCTCATTAGGACGATGCAATATGATATACAGTAACTGAAATATGGTTTTAAGCTGGGTTTAAGCCAACACACTACCTCACTCACTGGAGGTTAGGGAAATCTTAGCTTTTCAAAGGTCAGGGCCCCATTCCACAAGGCAATCTTAGCATTACGACTGTTATAAGTCTTTGTTAACATAGGGGAGTTTTGATAATCTTAGCGCTACGACTGTCATATGTCTATGTTAAAGTATGGGAGTTACGATTGTCTTAGCGCTACAACTGTCGGAAGTCTATGTTAAAGTTTGGGTGTTACGATCGTCTTAACGCTATGACTGTCAGAAGTCTATGTTAAAGTATGGGAGTTTTGATCATCTTAGGGCTATGACTGTCATATGTCTATGTTAAAGTATGGGAGTTACGATCGTCTTAGCGCTACAACTGTCGGAAGTCTATGTTAAAGTTTGGGTGTTACGATCGTCTTAACGCTATGACTGTCAGAAGTCTATGTTTAAGTATGGGAGTTTTGATCATCTTAGGGCTATGACTGTCGTATGTCTATGTTAAAGTATGGGAGTTACGATCGTCTTAGCACTACAACTGTTGGAAGTCTCTGTTAAAGTTTGGGTGTTACGATCGTCTTAGCGCTACAACTGTCGGAAGTCTATGTTAAAGTTTGGGTGTTACGATCGTCTTAACGCTATGACTGTCGGAAGTATATTAGTTTCAACTGTCTTAACGCTAGGATCGCTTTGTGAAACGGGGCGAAGGGATGGAAGGGGAGGCCACTGTGGTATAGCATCAATATTTGATGACTGCATTCAATAACATTTACTCACTTGCTCCACGACAGGTCCTGCTGAAGGCTTATACCAGAAGGAATATTATGAAAACCTGAAGAAGTCACTGAAACCTAATGGAATCATCTCTTGCCAAGGTAAGAGCCAAAACTGGCAAGGAGCAATCTTATTAAAAAGACATTTTTTCACTTCGATACAGTACCTCTGCATGAAGGTCTGACAACCACTGCATTGGAGGTCAGACCCGTGAAGAGTCCGGGGTAGAATAGGTCTTCAGCAACCCATACTTGCCGTAAAAGGTGACTATGCTTGTCGTAAAAGGCGACTAACGGGATCGGGTGGTCAGGCTCGCTGACTTGGTTGATGCATGTCATCGATCCCAATTGCGTGGATCGATGCTCATGATGTTAATCACTGGATTGTCTGGTCCAGACTCGATTATTTACAGACCGCCGTCATATAGCTGGAATATTGCTGAGTGTGGCGTTAAACAACAAACCAACCAACATTGGAGGTCACGTCAGCTAAACTTTCTAATCAGTTAATCAGCATCAAGGCTCTGTATGAGTGAGTGTGACATTTTGACCAGCATATGTGATTTCTGTATCTTGGCCAGTTCTGAATGTAAATAATTAAGGCAATACCTGATATATTTGTGGATATCTGAAAGCCATGGCGTCTACACCCAAAGGGGAGTACCATCAAAGGAATATTTGTGTTCTGGGTGGCTTTTCTTTTGTTAAAACTGAAATTTCTTAATCAAATTGGTAATAAAATGAAGCTGAAATGTTATTTTAAGCTGACATCTGATTGGCTCAAGTACCTGCACATCCTTCATTTTGATTGGGCAGTATGGGTTACTCTAGGTTAACCTGACCTGGGGTCACCTTGATGGGGGATATCAGATCTTCACAAGGAGAGGTATCATATCGGAGCAAGGGTCTGATTTTAATGAGAGATGTCTTGTTCTTACATCAACAATATCTCTGTAACTCATGGTATCCATGTCTTACTAAATTTTGATGGATGTAAAATATGGAATTTCTCCATTTGCAGCACGGAATTGACTTATGTTAGTCATGAATTAGCAGAGATGCCAACCTTTACGATTTTGAGCCTAAATTTACGCCATTATTCTTGTCATCCCCAAATTATGATTTTTGACATTTTTTTCACGAATGATTTACATGCATAACATATCAAAGAGATCGAATTGTTACTGCACCAGTCATGTGACGCATTCTACAGGGCATAAAATATCACATGCCTTGACTATGTGTTTCGGCAAGAATGCAGTGTAACAGACATGTCTAACACCTTCCGCAAGTTTGTGTGATGCCTTTTTTTTGTCACTTTGCTTCAATAACAGGAGGGTTATGGGTCTTGACCCCTCATAACAGCTTGAATTAAATGCTTTACAAATTTATACAAGATACTAGATGTTTTCTTAAGATGGCCCATTAAGCGGCTAAATGACGGACTGGTCGGCTCGGAGTCAGTATACTGTGTCTGAGTGGGGTATTCATGTTAAACTGCTAGCACTATAAAATCGGCATTAGTCAGGACTAGTATGAACAGACAAACACACGCACACATGCAGGCATGCACCTCACTATGTAAGTGCAATGTAAGGGCAGAAGGTTATGTTAAATGCATGCTCTGACATCTGCACAAGAGACTATAACACACTCAAACCCAGTGACATACACATAAATAAATAGAATTAAATTTGTGTAAACAGATGACATTGATGATGATGTTAATGATGATGATGATGATGATGATGTTAATGATGATGATAATGATGTTAATGATGTTGATGATGATGATGATGATGATGATGATGATGATGATAAATTGTTTGGTTAAAAAAAAGTACAATGACTTCTTTTCAGGTGAAACCCTGTGGTTTGATCTTCCTCTCATTAAGAAAATGATTGGGTACTGTCGCGAGGTATTCCCCAACGTGGCATATGCGTCGGGGAACACGCCCACCTATCCCGGGGGTCACATGGGCTTCTTGCTGTGTAGTACCAACCCAGTGAGTATATACACTGATTTATCCACACCAGATCTGCAGCAAATGTCAGTAAAATTCCCAAGATAAGAATTCACCGTCCCTAAAACTTTTGAGATACAATCGAGCATGGTCTTTCCATGAAGATTTGAAAGAGCAACATAAGACTCTGGCTAAAATGTTTTGTGGGAGACATGTGGACGACATTTCCAAATTTGACGCATCAGTGACAAAAATGATGTCCGATGCAATTCCCTATTTTGACTTGTACCATATGTACCCCAGTTTGTTTTGGTAATTAATTTCTTTGCATATGTTTGTAATGGGTGCTACTGTGGGACAGGATACGCTCACCTTTTCACTAAGACCAGGTATCGTCACTGTTTGAAAGTCATTCATAAACACATGCTCATGATTTATTGTATGACTATGTTATCACAGGCTCTATATTATCACGATATCTGTACAATTCGTAATTCACATCCCCTGTCGACTGTTTACTAATGCAAATCTAAGCATGATATTTCATGGCTTGATCGAATACAGGACTCGTTGGAGTATATCTTTGTTACTTGTAAGTATACACGTTAACTTTTTTTATGATAGTTTCTGGAATGTTTTTGAAGTGGAATTACCCCTACTTCCGTTCGAAATTGGTTAGAAAAGAACTCATTTGTTTAGGCAAAGTCACTTGGTGGTATGCATAGTGATTATGCATAATCCAAAACAGGAAGTGATGTAAAGCATATAGCGTATATATATACACGTATCACACCACAAAATAGCCATACTGTGATATATAGAGTTGCCTGCCCTTGGTAATGAAAATCAGCTTCGATCAATCAGCATCTAGTTGATGTGTCATAAAAATTGAACAAAGATGAGAACAAGAAACATTTTGTGCAAGACATATTTGATAGGTTAGTAAGCAATCTCCATTCTGATCCATTATAAATTAACAAAAGTGATAATATCGCATACCATGCTTGTCAGAAGCATACAATCAACGCTGCTTTTAGCAGATATTTCACATGAGTATGATTTGTTTGTTTGTTTGTTTGTTTGTTGTTTAACGCCGCACTCAGTAATATTCTAGCTATATGATGGTAGTCTGTAGATAAACGAATATGGATCAGCAAATCCAGTGATTGACATCATGAGACTCAATCTGTGCAATTGGGATACAATGACATTAATCAACCAAGTCAGCGAGCCTGACCACTCAATCCCATTAGTCGCGTCTTACGATATGCATAGTCGCCTTTTACGGGAAGTATGGGTTGCTAAAGACCTATTCTACCCCGGATCTTCAGGGGTCAGGGAAAGGGTTCTGGCGCACGGGGGGCGAAAACTGGTTTTGAATGATTTTTCTCGCCGTGTTGGTTGCAATCGCGATAAATCGAAAGAGAAAAGCATTTCAAAAGCATTTTTATCTACATTTTATATGAATGCGTGAGAATTTCTCAACCTTGCGTGTGAGCGTGACATAGGTGATAAATACATGAGAATCACGCGAGATGCGTGAGAGTTGACAGGTATGTTGTTATAAAAAAAAAATGAATATAAACTGTGATGTACATCAATGTGTAGGCTCATGTAGGGTATATAATGATGCATCTATTTTGGTGAACCCCGAATTATTTACACTTTGCTTTAAAGATGACCACCCTCTTAATCCGAATTAAGCAAGACACTTGCATTACTTATTTCCTTGCAGTAGGGGATTAATGAAAAATCATTTGGTCACCATCCTACGAATGCACCATGTGCAATGACCCCATTTTTTTTTCAATTTTTAGTTTTTTATTATCTTGTGTTTCCATGGCAACAATTTGGACTTTGTCTCAAACAACTAGAGTTTGTTTCACGCCAAAACTCAACAGCTAAAGAATATTTCCGCATGAAACCATTATCATTCCTGGCTATAATTTGCTATTATTGTTTTCGGATTCGCAAACACATTCAAAGAAACAACTAGAATTAATGTACGAAAAAATGGAGTAGGGGAGACATGTGTTTGAGTTAAAACACATTCTAGTAATTTATTTCTTTTAAAATTTATATTAGTTTATCTGTTGCAATATCCAGTTTCATATTATCAAATATAAGTTGTATGGGTCTTATTCTGTAGGTATGTTTCAGTCAGGCGACATCAAGGAATGTCGGATCGTGTATAGAGTTGGGTCCCCTAATGTGTCTTTGATGTCCCCTCTGGGTGCAGATTACCTTTCAACCTTGACATGTTGATGGGTTGTGGGAAGAATTGGGTCACGGAGGTGGGTCATGGAACTGGGTCAGTTCGACCTGGATGGCATTAACATATGCATGATATGGGGCTGGGTCTGCTGACTGTTAGACAAGCACATTCAGACCTGATTTGTTTCGCCACATGGGGTCACCTCACTGTGCCCTCACTCATTGTTCTGGTTAGAACTGCAGTCAGCCATGGTAATGAGCTATAGTCTGTTGCAGAATACCAGGTATATGTTTTTTCGTTTATACCTGATACACAAATGCAGTGTTTTATGCATATATCCTAACAGTGAAATAGATTGTCTTATCACTAACTTTGTTAAACAATTATGAATATTTTTAACTTTGTTAAAAAAAAATATGAAGAAGTTATATTTTGTTCTGAAACAATTATGACTGTTTTACTTTGTTTTAAAAAAAAATATGAAGAAGTTATATTTTGTTCTAATCAAATATGACTGTTTTACTGTGTTCTGAGTTTACAACAAGTTTACTTCTAAAACAATTGAATAAGTTTTCATTCTAAAACAATTATTAATACCGGTAAACTAAGAGTGCAGCTGACTGTAAGTCTTACCTAACTTGGTCCAGCCATTGAGACTCATTATTAGCAATTGTGCTGAAATGTCGTATACCGTATTCGACGTAACAAGCGCCCAGGGTGCTCTCAAAATTAGCATATTCTTTTGGTGAAAAAAAAACAGAGTTGAAAGATCGTAAATTTCGTGGTTTATGCTGACAGCCTGAAATGTATATATACAACAGATATATTTTTCCAGAATTTAATTGCCCATAATTAAGGGTGCATATAACACACGAGTGCATATTATACACAAATAAATAAGTCTTGTGTACCTTTGTCAATTGGAAGGGGTGCTAATTGGGATTGTTCACTAGCCAATATATTAGCTAATATCACCGTGGGTGCTTATAAGAGCAGGGCGCTTACTACGTCGAATACGGTATTCATGACCTTGTCATAATACTAGATTACTGATGTTATTTAAAATATAAACACACGCTGATCAGGAAAATGTTTTGAATTTTCTTTTGGAATAGGCTTTATTCTACGAGACAGCCATCTTTAAACAACAAGAGACTGCAGCCATATTGAAATGTCTATTTATGGCCATTTTCATGACTGCTCAGCCATTTTTGTACAAAATGTGATGAAATTTTGAGTATGATTAATTCACAAGCTTACAGGAGGGTCTTGTTGTTTTATTTTGTGCCTTGTCTCATTTAGTCTTGACACAATCTTATGATCTAGCTAGAGTAAATTGTGATTTTTATATAGTTCTACCAAGGTTCCGTCCGTCTGTCCGTCCGTCCGAAAACTTTGTCAGTGCGATTTCTCTTAAACTGTTCAGTGGATTCATCTCAAACTTAGTACATATATAATCTGTGTCATATGGAGGGGTGCAGTCAAAAGAAAAAAAATTGTTATTATTAATTTTCCATTTTTTTATGAATTTTTCAAACCCTAACCCTATCCTAGCTTTTTAATTTGAAACTACTGACACACTAGGCGGGTCGGGGGTATTAGTGAGCCACGCTCACTTTTCCCCTTGTTCTTTTGTGTAATGCTGATATTTTAGGTCAGTGAATGTTTGGGGTTAGTTTTCCCTTAACAGAAACACCCACGATTTTGACAAACAAATTCCTAAAACAGATCAGTGCAGCTGTGCTAGTTTTTAGGGCAGGTGCACCTGTGCTAGTTTTTAGGGCAGGTGCACCTGTGAGGTGTGTGTCACATCAGGTTACTGTGGTGGCCATGGTTGATTGCTGCCTCACAGCAGTGTTTCAAGCTGTCAATAGCAGGCCCTTCTATCTATTGGAATGCAAAGAAGCATCGCAATCAGAGCTACAGATAAGCTGGGTATTTGCGTAAAATAACCCCAAAAAACATTCAAAACCCAATTACTTTCAATAAACTTGCGTACAGAAACGCATGCATTAAATGAAAAACTCAAATGTATAAGAACATCATTCGTAAATATCCAATGAAGCTTTTTCAGCATGCGTTCAATGGAGCTAATTTCCAAAACCGAATTACGAGCTAATTTACTTTCCGAGTCAAGCCTTTAGTTGGAACCCTTATATATACATCTACAACATAATTTTATTGTTTTTAAAATCTCAATATGTTAGCTCATTTGGGGGGAAAAAACAAGAGTGATGAATAGATGAGTGAAAAAATATTGGTTACCAAATGAAAAATGTAATAATCCAATTAAAACAGAAACCTTCAAGTAAAAACTCAATTGCTCAAAAGTTATCTGGAGCTCTGATCGGAATTAATATAAGCATAATCGTGTTTATAGCTGGCAAGTGTGAAGGAATAGTTTCAAATGTGATATAAATGTAGTAGCTAACATCCTAACAGCTGCTGTTGGAACCAACAGCATCGGTAACCGAACACATTCGGTCATAACCGTTAAATTCCACATTTCTCCAAACTACAACACTTACTGTCGCTACAACGTGCAAGTCCCGTGAAGATTCCGGGGTAGAATAGGTCTTCAGCAACCCATACTTACCGTAAAAGGCGACCATGCTTGTCGTAAAAGGCGACTAACGGGATCGGGTGGTCAGGCTCACTGACTTGGTTGATACATGTCATCGATTCCAATTGCGTGGATCGATGCTCATGATGTCAATCCCTGGATTGTCTGGTCCAGACTCGATTATTTTACAGACCACCGTCATATAGCTGGAATATTGCTGAGTGCGGCGTTAAACAACAAACAAACAAACAACATGCAAAACATGGCTGACAGTAGGAGAGAAGAGAAACAGGGAAGTGTTTCAACCAACACTTACTTCCAGTGAATGTAATTCTTATAAAGAAGTTTATTCACATTGAACGTAAATTATAATTTGCCTTCGATACAGATTGTTTATTTTTAGCAAAAAATGTATTTTGAGAGTATTAGAAGAAAACATGTCTCCAAATTTAGATAACAAATTCTGATGCATGTGAATACTAGTCGCCCAATGCCATGGATTTTATGCTTTATAGTCCAGACTTCGCGTCAGACAAACCAAAAGAAATTACTTCACTTGTTGCTTGTTTGTTTATCACCGCCATTATTAGCACACTGTTTTTCTGGAAAAGGTGTTGTCAATTAACTACGATTGGCTATTTACGGATACAGCCAAAGTTATTCTGCTGCATTTGGCAAGTTTCCCATTGCGGCTGTGCACATTTTCTGCTAACGACCGCTGTCAGATACGATGGTGTTTCTTTTTGTACGCATTATACATGCATTGGGTTCCAATACGCCTTCATTCTAAAACCATTCAACGTTTTTTATCCAAATAGATAGGAGGGCCTGAATAGGTCAGTTGGTAGAGATGTCTTTGTGGTGCCTAACGATGAAGATGTCTCTTGTTAGGTAAACAGCAGGTTGAACTTGTTTGTAAATTGTTTGTTGTTTAACACTGCACTGAGCAGTATTCGAGCTATATCTTGGCTGTCTGTAAATAATCAAGTCAGGACCATGCAATCAAGTGATTGATGTCATGAGCATCAATCTATCTGTTTAGTATGTATTTATTTATTTTTTCAGCCTTGTCTAGTTTCTTACAATACAGAGATGGTTTGATGGCAGGTGATGGTTTGATCACTTCTATGCTTCTCCTGGCCCTTCATTCAGAATCGTCCGTGAACAATCACATTTCTTCTCTGTATCAAGTTACTGTTTATTATCCCAGAATGCAATATTTTTTCTACAGAGCATGCTCAGTACTACGGATGTGATGTCATTTTGTTTTGAGGCAATCATTCTGTAAACTATCATTATATGGCTTGCGGCCCCCAAAGTATTTTCATTTTCACTCATACCTGCAGGGTATCACCCTTTCTACATATTTTCATTTTACCTTTTTAGATCTACCCGCAGGGTTCTAAATCATTTTCATATATATTTCAAATTTACTTATGCAACCGGCACGGCTGCCTTTTTATACTACTTACCTGCAGCGTAAGTTACCTTTCCAACACCGAGTCAGCCCCCGAATCTCTCATTCACCTGTTCTTATGATTCAACTTTTTTTTATCTCTTTCAGTAGTCATATGATGTCAGTCTCAGATAGTTATAGATGTACAAAATATTCAGTTGTTTTGCATAATGTGGTCCAGTGCTTGATATTGCTATGTCAAACATGCATGTTTAAACCCGTGAAGATTTGGGTGAGAATAGGTCTTCAGCAACCCATGCTTCTCCTAACATGTGACTAACAGAATTTGGTGGTCAGGCTTGCTGACTTGGGTGATGGAGGTCATCACATCCCAATTGCCTGGATCAATGCTCAATATGTCAATCACTGGATTGTCTGGTCCAGACACGATTATTTACAGACTGCCTTCATATAGCTGAAAAAGATTGATGGATGCGGCGTTTAACATTAAGCAACAAAACAAACAAAACAAACAAAACATGCATGTTTTGCTTCCTAAATTAAACCATGTAAACGTTAGGTGTGTTTTTGAGTTTTCTTTAAAAACATTTTTCTATCATATGCTGATAGACTGCAGGTTTCATTTTTGTCCTAACATTATGCTAACATTTTGTGCACTGAACATTGGTGTATTTGTTCAAAAGGCCCCCTTTGCATTGAGGTTAATGATGCACAACATCTTTATGAGTCATAAATTGTCGATGTGTTCTATGCCACTCTCCACACTAGGCTGGTTCAAGAACATCACAAAGCGTCAGTGTGCGTTATAATTGCATTTCCAGCCAACCGTTGACTGCACCACGCAAGCTGTGCATTCACACAACAGTTACATGCAGCTTGGTTTCACGCCTGTTCTGTTAAAGAAGCACAACCCTTGCTGTGACAAGTCAGTTCAAGTGTTTTGTTTTGTTGCACAGAGTCTGGACTTGAAGAAGCCCCAGCAGAACTTCACCTCCGATCAGCTGGACAGCATGGCTCTCAAGTACTACAGCCCCGAGATCCACCGCGCTGCCTTCGCCCTGCCCCACCATGCCAGAAAAGTAGGCCTTGTAACACCTCAGTATGCGTGTGCACCTGCTGCACAGTTGTACAGTTGGTAGTAAATATGCAGTTTGTCTTGGTAATAGGTTTCCACTGTTGCCCTGGTAACAAGTATGCACTGTTGACCAGGTTACAAGTTTGCACTGCTGCCAAGGTGGAAACTGGTTAATGTTTCTCCTGGTAACAAGTGTAAATAGTTGCCCTGGTAACATGTATGCGCTGTTGCCCAGGTTACAAGTTTGCACTGTTGCCCAGGTTACAAGTATTCACTGTTGCCCAGGTTACAAGTATGCACTGTTGCCCAGGTTACAAGTATGCACTGTTGCCCAGGTTACAAGTATGCGCTGTTACCCAGGTAACAAGTATGCACAGCTGCCATGGTGGAAACTGATTAACGTTTCTCCTGGTAACAAGTGTGAATTGTTGCCCTGGTAACAAGTATGCACTGCTGCCATGGTGGAAACTGGTTAATGTTTCTCCTGGTAACAAGTGTGAATTGCTAACAGGCATCCACCGTTGCCCTGTTAACAAGTATGCGCTTTTGCCCTTGTAGAAAGTATCCACTGTTGCCCTGGTAAGACATATGCCCTGTTGCCCTGGTAAGACATCTGCATTGTTGCCCTGGTAAGACATATGCACTGTTGCCCTGGTAAGACATATCCACTGTTGCCCTGGTAAGACATCGGCACTGTTGCCCTTAAACTGATACCATCCCTGTGCAGTTGTAAACTTTTTCTCAAGAAAGAGTTTATTCTTTGAAGAGTTAGCCATGTGTTTCTTGACAGGAAACAGCTGAAGGACATTAAGAGATTTTATGAACAAAATTCAACTCTCAGGCGGTATATATACCAGAGTTACAGATAAGCTGCGTATTTGCGTAAATATATCCCCCCAAAATATTCAAAACCCAATTACTTTCAATTAACATGCGTACAGAAATGCATGCATTAAATGAAAAACTAAAATGTATAAAAACAGCATGTGTACAACAGAGCTAATTTCCGAAACACAATTACGAGCTAATTTACATTCAGAATCAGGCCTATATTTAGAACCGTTATATACATCTGAAACATCATTTCAGTTTTTTGAAACCTTTAAATGTTAACTCATTTTTGGAAAAACCCAATAGAGATGAATGTATGAGTGAATAAACTATTGGTTACCCAATGAAAAATGTAATAACTGAAATAAAGTAGAAAAGGATAGCAAGGATATACCTATATAATATAGTAACATAAATTGCATCATTGTTCGAGTCACAAATAACAAGAATCAAGTACAGTTTTCACTTATATACAATAGTAGTTATTTGATTAAAAATAATTTCAAATGCTTTTGGCTACCAACACTATTGGCCTGACTTTATTGGCCCAAAAACTTTGAGGCCTGGCCGTACATAATGGATATGTAAAGGGATTTCTAGTGGAACTCAATGATGCCTATGCTTGACACTTTGGACAGGAACTTCGCTAATAAATGCCGAAACTATTTGAACAAATTTGGAACAGATTTCTACATAAAATTCACAAAGGAACAAAGTTCAACACTCCTCAGTTTTTTTAATTAAGATGATGGAACTTTGGGGACTGACCTATATTACAAAGACACAGACACGTATCAATTCCAAGGCTTTCATTCATGTCACCTTACCACACTAAGCATAGTATTCCATATTGTCTAGACAGGAGAGTATGTTCTATTGTGTCTAGGGGCGGTCGGGTAGCCTAGTGGTTAAAGCGTTCGCTCGTCACGCCGAAGACCCGAGCTCGATTCCCGACATGGGTACAATGTGTGAAGCCCATTTCTGGTGTCCCACGCCGTGATATTCCTGGAATATTGTTAAAAGCAGCATAAAACCATACTCACTTATTCAACTGAGTGATGTGGTGATTCACGCTGCTGCATGTAAAAGTAATTGAAGGATGATCTGTGCACATAAAAATGATAAGGCAATTTCTGCTATAAAAAATCTGAAAATTGTAATTATTTTATAGGTTATTATAAGTAATTATAAGTATTTTGGAAAAAAGGGAAGTACCCATGAATTTGCACAGCATGGAAACAGCGATTTACAGTTATGAACAAGCTTAATATTGACATGGATAAGTTGTTACAAAATAAAGAAAACAGGTTCATTAGTCTGTTTTTGCTGAAGTTAAATTCTTGAGTATAAAACGTCATGATTATTGGAGCTGTAAGTGCTCATCTTTAGAATGATAATAAAATGAAGCGGCATACATCATATAAGGTATGTTAGATTTACAGGAAGTGTAGCTAATGCAACAACAGACCGCCTACATGGTCTAGTGGTAGAGCGTCCGCCCGGAGATCGGAAGGTCCGGGGTTCGATCCCCAGCCGCATCATACCTAAAGACGTTAAAAGATGGTACTTGTTGTTACCCTGTCTAGCGCTCGGCGTCAAGGGGCTAAAACAAGGACTGGTTGGCTCGGAGTCAGTATACTGTGTCTGAGTGGGGTATTCATGTTAACCTGCCGCATAGTATCTCAGTGAGCTAGCACTATAAATCCGCATCAGTCCGGACTAGTACAAGCAGCCACACACACACGTGCATGCATGTCGCTATATAAGTGCAATAATCTTGGACGCGAGGTTAACCCATTTCACCTCACCTAATGCAACAACATCGTTGAAATATTAAAGCCTATCTCTCATCATTTCTGGGCCTCCATTACCCGCCATGTTTGGAACCTCGTTCAAAGAATAAGCACCCCGCGATGAGAGGAAATAGGGTATTTCATGTGATCTTTTGTTTCTTGCAGGCCCTGCAGGAAGTGCTTGACACATGAGGAACTTGGCACATCCCAGGAACCGGTTGCTATGGTGATTGAGCATACACATGTTGGTGTAATACTGCTTTAACAGCTTCGGCAAGGCATCACAATCCCACTGCAGCCATTTGTGCAACTTAATATTTCCCTTGCTTACATAAATGTTTACTAAATGTTTACTGAATATTTGTTTACTAAATGTTTCTTTTAGTGACACACATGTCTCACTTAATATAGAAATTAATTCTGGGGTTTTATTGAAGTTTTATTGATCATATGATGACAAGTGGGTGTGAGGCTCTTGTGATTTACTGCACAGCTATTTATTATGGTTGCCATGGAAATCCATAGCTGACTGTTCAGAATGTTCTAAAAGTGGTGCGATCATATGAGTTATTATGAACTGATATCTTTAATGCACATTGATATTATATGTTCAGTCCCATATATGTTCCCCAGGATAAGTGTATCATGGAATGAGTGTGTAATCTAGCTCTGTCCTGTGTCCATAATAAACCTATTCACACGATTGAGATGGCATCGTTAACAGAGCAAGTAAAAAAGCAGGAGGCGGATTTAGTGCAGTAAAAGCCTACTTTTCAAATGGTAATTACCGTATTTGACGTAATAAGCGCCCGGGGCGCTCTCAAAATTAGAAATAGGGAGCTTTTATTAGAATATTATTTTGAAAGAGTTGAAAGATAAATTTTGTGGTTTATGCTGACAGCCTGAAATGTTTATATATGAGAGATACATTTTTCAAGAATTTAAATGCCCATAATTAAGGGTGCATATAACACACAAGTATGTATTATACGCGAATAAATAAGTGTTGTGTACATTGATCAATCGGAAGGGGTGCTAATTGGTATTGTTCACTAGCCAATATGTTAGCAAATATCGCCGTGGGCGCTTATTAGAGCAGGGCGCTTATTACGTCGAATACGGTAAGTGTTGGCATATTGAGATGTTGGGACTTGAGATGAGGGTTAGTCAAGAATTGGAGGGGAGGAGGGGCAGATGCTCAGTACCAAAGGAAGTTCCTTAGTTTGATAAGGTCCATTATAGTTATTATACAGATTACCGAGAACTTGTGACTGAAATGAGTGAAAAACGTGTCTATCCTCATTCCTATGCAAGCTCATCTTCCCAAGGCAAGGGAGTTAACTGACTGTAAAAGTCCAGTTTCCAACCTTGCCGAACAAGCCTGCATTTCTGGAATTATATTTGGGCTGCACTAACAGGTCTATGCTTTGTCCAATCAAAACCATGTTACTACTCATAGGCCAGTTCGTAAACAACATGGCGAGTTTCGGTCTTTATGATTTGGAGAGCATGAGTACTGTCACCTTGGCATCCATAGATGTTTCTCAAATCTTTTCATGTTTTTAATCAAGCTGCTCAAGTGATATGATGCACTAAGTGAGGTAAGACTTGTTTATGGTTTTATTACAATAAAGATTTTTATTATCAATGAAATCTTCTTCACTGCCGCCATTTTGTTTGAAGCAAATGCAAGTGATATGAGAGATGGAATCTGATTGGTCAATAGGAGGGACATAGAAGGGACGTAACTTGTAATAGCCATTGGTGGCACTACGTTTCAGCCTAAGTATTCCAGCCTAGTTCAGCAAGCATGGAAACTGGACTTTTATAGTCAGTGGCGCCCTTTCCTCAGGAAGATGGTGCAAGCGGGGAGGATATTCACTTGGAGTTATGATAGTGTCAAGAATAGCATCATTCATTTGCCTGGTTAAATGGCCAGATCAAACACACTGCCAGAAGTACATGTACCATATTCAGTGCCTATGGAGGTAGAGGGTTCAGCAAGAAGGTTCGGGGTGTGTAGAGCAGGCTGTGTAGAGCAGGCTGGGGGACTGGGGGTGAGTGTTGTTGCATCTCACAATGAAGCTGGGATGAAGAATGGTGTTGTCCTGTGTCAGTTAGCAGCCACTGAAATCATCTGGAGAATTTTTCCAAGGTTCAGAATACCAGGGTTTCAGAAAATGTATTAGGCCTTTTAGAATATAACTACATCTTATGATTCACAGGGGGCGGTCGGGTAGCCTAGTGGTTAAAGCGTTCGCTCCGGGTTCGATTCCCGACATGGGTACAATGTGTGGAGCCCATTTCTGGTGTCCCCCGCCATGATATTGCTGAAATATTGCTAAAAGCGGCGTAAAACCATACTCACTCACTCACTCACTCACTCACTATGATTCACATTGGGTATTTGATTGTTTTATTTTGGTATTGAATATTTAACTCCCTTGGATCCAGTCTATTGGAATTTTTAAACCAATCAGTAGACATCTTACTGCTAATGATAATTCTGCTTAAAATGCTTTTTCTGGTAACTTCTAGTTTTCTTCTGTTCGTGTACTGCCCCAAATGTAACTGATGTCACCTAGCTCACAACAGCCATACAAGAGTCAGTTGTATATTGATGCAGGGTGATGCCTTCATTTGATCAGTAAACAAAGTAAAGATATTTATGTACGCAAGCTTAAAGGGCTACTTTGGGTGATTCCACACAGCATTGTTTTACTATTGGGTTTTATTATATTGTTCCAGCATATTTGTATGCAAGAAACTCCAAATTATTAGGGTTTTGGTGATTTATTATGCATATTTTAAGGAAATACACAGCTTATCTGGAGATCTGGAATACTTCTGGGTCAAATAGTCCTTTAGTTTGAGTAGTGTTAATCACTGTAACAATTTTCATACCCTCATTGCTTACCTTGTTCCATGATATGTGTATCGTTTGATCAAGTGATGTATTGATACAGTATTATAATAATACATTTATGTATCATTGAAATGTTGGTGCATTGTATAACTTTGTACCAGGATAATTGTATCTTTTGATCCAGTGATGTACGGATACAGTATAATACATCTATGTATCACTGCAATGTTGGTGCATTGTACAACTTTGTTCCAGAATAATTGTATCGTTTGATAAAGTGATGTATCGATACAGTATTATAATAATACATTTATGTATCATTGGAATGTTGGTGCATTGTATAACTTTGTACCAGGATAATTGTATCTTTTGATCCAGTGATGTACGGATACAGTATAATACATCTATGTATCACTGCAATGTAGGTGCATTGTACAACTTTGTTCCAGAATAATTGTATCGTTTGATCAAGTGATGTATCGATACAGTATTATAATAATAAATTTATGTATCATTGGAATGTTGGTGCATTGTATAACTTTGTACCAGGATAATTGTATCGTTTGATCCAGTGATGTACGGATACAGTATAATACATCTATGTATCACTGGAATGTTGGTGATTTGTATTACCTTGTTCAATGATATGTGTATCGTTTTATCAGATGATGTACCGATACAAGATGATACATGAATGTCAAAGTGGGACTAGTTGTAGAGTACTGTATGATTTGTAAAATGTTCAATGGTATATACAAAACCTATCTAGCAGCTGTTCAGTTGACATCTGTGAAGTACTTATTGGCACATCTATCATATTGTGCATTATATCATGACCTTACTATCGAGATAAACATCATATTGCATCAATATTACCATTAGGGGCTTGGATATTGGTGAAATTATATTCAGTGTTCTCTCTTAGCATCATAAAGCATTAGGGGGCACGGGTGGCCCAGTCGTCTAAGGCGCAGCAAATCACTGTGCAGAGTTGCGTCCCTTAGGCACGCCAGAAACCTATGATTGTGGGTTCGAATCCCCATAGACCCCGATTATGTTTCTAGGGTTGCCAGCACCACACCCGTGCTCGTGGGTTTCACTGAAGTGGTAAACGTCTGAGACCTGCATCACTTCGGGCTTTCCTCCCACATTAAGCTGACACGCCGTGATATAACTGGAATACTGTTAAAAGCGGCGTTAAATCCAACGCGCTCACTCACTCACTCACTCACTCACTCACTCACTCACTCACTACCATTGGTCCATTGTTTTCATTGTTTGCAAGAGGCCCGTAACACAGTGACGTCTTATCAGTACATAGTCAGAAACAATTGAAGATGTCATCCGTTGTTCTTAACATCATGACAAAAATATTATGTGACACTGCTCCAACAAGAGACAGGCCGACCAAAGAAAACCTGTAGAGAGCAACCAAACTATGGAATATGTGCCCACTTTAAATAGAATAGCCACACAAATTACAACAAGACACAATCCCCATGTCGTATGTCATGATTGAGTATGGGAGTTACGGACGTCTTAGCGCTACGATTGTCGTATGTCATGGTTGAGTATGGGAGTTACGGATGTCTTAGCGCTACGATTGTCGTATGTCATGGTTGAGTATGCAAGTTATGGACGTCTAGTGCTACCATTGTCGTATGTCATGGTTGAGTATGGGAGTTATGGACGTCTTAGTGATACAGCTGTCGTATTTCATAGTTGAGTATGTGAGTTATGGACATCTTAGGGCTACGACTGTCGTATGTCATTGTTGAGTATTGGAGCTATTGATGTCTTAGCGATATGACAGTTGTATATCATAATTGAGCATGGATGTAACAGACGTCTTAGCACTATGACTGTCGTTTGTCATAGTTGAGTATGGGAGTTACAGACGTCTTAGCGCTACGACTGTCGTATGTCATAGTTGAGAATGGGAGTTCAGGACGTCTTAGTGTTATGACAGTTGTGTGTCATAGTTAAGTATGGAAGTTACAGACATCTTTAAAGCTACGACTGTCGTATGTCACAGTCGAGTATGGGACTTACGGTTGTCCTAGTGCTAAGATGTCTTTATGGAACTGGGCTGTGGCTCTATAACAATAATAATAATAATAATGTGCATATTTATAATGCACCAAATCAACACCCTTGGGCATGCTCAAAATTCTACATTCTACCCCGGTCAATGAATCAGTGTGCACTCGATTTTCATTCTCATTCCCCTGAGGAGTATACAATCATGAGGTGGAATACCGAGTGAAATGCTGTTTACCAAATGTGATAGTTGGAATGTTTTGAAGATGGTCTGGTTTGTGACATATCCCTGTGCAGATGTCCAGACATCAATGTTATTCAATTCAGATCTTTCACTCCTTTACATTGCCTCTCTGCATGAAGATCTGACAACACATTCATGGGAGATCTAGTCAGGTGAACCTTCTAATCAGCCTATCTATGTTAAGGAAGCATCCAGAACAGCATATTTCAATTCCTGATCTCGAAAAAATGAACTTAAAGGACCAGTTCCAAGTATTAATAATAAAGGCAGTGCCTATAATATTGTGAATATTTTATACGCCCTGTTGTTTCTGAGAGCCATGACATCTACACTGAAATGGAAGTACCATCAAATGAATGTTTGTGTTCTGTATGAATATTGTTTTGTTAAAATCGATTTTTCTGAATTCATGTGGCGAAGATCGACAAATAGCAGAATTGGTTTAGAAATCTGAGATCCGCTCAAGAACACACACATCCTGCATTTAGATTTGGCAGTCTACGTTTTCTCAGGGTTTAGATGACACGACCTTCCATGAAAGTATCTTCTGGTCTTCATGCACTGACGTATCGTAAAGATATTGAGTGTTAATGGTTTATAACATGAGCAATCTCATTAAAATCAGATCATAGTTCTCGCTACCGCTAAACAAAGATCTGAGAATACCCCATAACACGTCACGTCAGACCCACCTTGCGCGAACTTTGACTGACCAATGGAATGACTGACAAGAAGTCGACTAAACCAATCAGAAGGC